ATCTATGCACATGGCAACACCAGATGACAACAATCATGCAGCCATTCCACTGCAATCTGCAACCACTTAAATTCAAGACACGCATAGAACTACGCTCGTTGCAGAACACAGAGGAGGAAATTCGCGGATGAAACGACCGCAGCCGCAACCGCCGCACACATGAGGTACCTTTCATCGCCGGCTGCAGCCACTTTACACGGAAAAACAGAGGGTTTCGTACTCCGGCTTCCTCCCCAAAACAAAGCCCATGCAACATTCTTGCAGCCATTACAATGCATTTTGCAGCATCACGTCGCAAACCTGCACGCATCTACGCACATGGCAACACCAGATGACAACAATCATGCAGCTATTCCACTGCGATCTGCAACCACAGATTCAAGACACGAATAGAACTACGTACACAGAAACAACCACTCGTTTCAGAACACAGAGGAGGAACACATTCGCGGATGAAACGACCGCAGCCGCAACCGCCGCACACACGAGGTACCTTTCATCGCCGGCCGAAGGCACTTCACACGGAAAAACAGACGGTTTCGTGCTCCGGCTTCCTCCCCAACACAAGCCCCATGCAACATTCATGCAGCCATCATTACAATGCATTTTGCATCATTCCCTTCATCACCCCTTCTCCTCGTCACCACCTCCCTTCCTCACCACTTCCCTTCGTCACCACTTCCCTTAGTCACCACTTCCCTTCCTCACCACTTCCCTTCGTCACCACTTCTCTTAGTCACCACTTCCCTCGGTCACCACTTCCCAAAGTCACCACACCCCTTTCATCACCACTTCCCTAGGTCACCACTTCCTAAAGCCACCACACTTCGTCGCCACTTCCCTAGGTCACCACACCCCCTTCCTCACCGCTTCCTTTCGTCACCACTTCCCTTAGTCACCACTTCCCTTCGTCACCACACTCCCTTCGTCACCACTTCCCTAGGTCACCACACTCCCTTCGTCACCACTTCCCAAAGTCACCACACTCCCTTCTTCACCACTTCCCAAAGTCACCACACTCCCTTCGTCACCACTTCCCAAAGTCACCACTTCCCAAAGTCACCGCTTCCCTTCGTCACCACTTCCCTTCCTCACCACTTCCCTTCGTCGCCATGTCCCGAAGTCACCACTTCCCTTCGTCACCACTTCCCTTAGTCACCACTTCCCTTCCTCACCACTTCCCTTCGTCACCACTTCTCTTAGTCACCACTTTCCTCGGTCACCACTTCCCAAAGTCACCACACCCCCTTCGTCACCACTTCCCTAGGTCACCACACTCCCTTCGTCACGACTTCCCTAGGTCACCACTGCCCTTCGTCACCACCCTGCGTCATAGCCTATTATTCTTTTGTGATTTATTGTTATGTGATGTCAAGTCTCACACCGCCCTTGTCATAGCCTATTATTCTTTTGTGATGTATTGTTATGCGATGTCAAGTCTCACACCGCCCTTCATCAATGTCAAGTCTCACAATTCTATTTGTCCGTAACACGGAAGTATTGCTTCCCAACTTCCTTTGATAATATATGTAAACAGTTATATATATATATACATATGTATATATAATATAGACAATCATATAATTATACAATGCATACATGGCTAAATACCGACAGAAAACACCAAACACGTTACACATATGTCCAAACTGGGATGGCAGATTCCCTTCCTCACTGCGCAGCTGGTCTTCCAGCCCAAGCGGCAATTCCACCCACAGGTGTTGCGATGCCGCCCAAGGGAGTGGCGATGCCACCTACAGCGATAAAACATGATAAAACAAATTGGTGACTATAGCGGTCCCCAAATTCCCCAGAGATTGTTCGTAAAAAAATCAAGCCAATCACCCAATCCCTATAATATCATCTATATCATGATTTTGACAAATCCCCTAGCATTCTGTATGTTTGTTCCCGTACATCAATCCATGAAGAAAGGCAACCATCGCACCCTTTCCAGCCTACCGGAGTTGCAATGCCACCCACTGGCCTTGGAGTCTTTGCTACCACAAAAAAAAAAAAACAACACGTGGGTCTAGATCAACATCCTTGACCTCAAGTTACAAGGATTAGCAAGATGTGGCCACCCAACATCCCCAAACCCCCAGTCGACCCATCTCCATCTTCACTGGGTGCATGTTCAACCCTAATCCAGGATCAAAATTGTTAGTTCATGTTAGTTCGTGTTAGTTCCTATTCATTTTAAGGATTTATCAAAGATAGAAGGCTTTTGCAAACCTGGATCCAGTTCGAATCCGCCAAGCAACGTGTGGACTCCGCCGCCACCCACCGGCGTGCCGATACCACCGATGGGCGTGCCAACGCCAGGCGTTCCCATTCCTGGTGTCCCTGTGCCAGTACCATGACCTGGCGATATGGAGGAAAAATAAACCTCTAGATGAAGTTCTAATATGGGGATGTGGGGACATGGTGATGGAGATGAGGAGGAAATGTGATGAGGAAAGGTGATGACAGGTGTGGTGTGTCAAAGAAGGCGGGACAGATCCTGAACAACAAACATTATGATGATACCCCCAACTTATTGATATAGGAAGCCACAATGCCTGCAGAGCCGACACCCAATGGAGTAGTGATTCCATGAGGTGTCCTGTCAACAGGAAAGAAACTTTTGGATGGGCTGAACTTCGCGCGTCACCCGAAGTTGCAAAGAAGTTTGGCAAGGACAAAATGTACTGAGACACAATCCCGCTTCACTTCCTGTGCACTGAAAATGCTGCTGCGTTTCATGCTCCTTGTACCCATACCAGGAGTGCCAATGCCATGTGGCCTGCAAAAATTGCAGGGCAAGTATTCTGACTCTGAATCTGATTTGCCCTTACATTCCCTGTGACGAGACCCAACTCTTCGACGACTGGGTTGTATTTCCAAAAACCTTGAAAGCTGTTCTTGCCTCACTTCCACGTCCCAACCGTCACTCAAAGCTGTTTTCTGTTTCGCACTAAATCTGTTCATTTCATCCACCAACTTTACAGTGCTGATGTACATGAGCCCCTGACGTGGAGATCCCGTGAGGAGTTCCGATGCCAGCAATAGGGGTACCTGAAATCAGCAGAACGACCATCAAGCAGAACTGTAGCAAGGGATAGGTGAGGTGGTATCGAATCTCCAAGAGGTCTCTCATCTCATGGACGAAGTGCATTTCAATTGCATTGAAAGTAGACAATGAATCTGTGGAGATCTTGGAGGGTCATCTTTTGCTTCCCAGTATTGCAATAAAATGTTGCGGGACGCCCCCCCAAAACCCCATATTTGCGGTCAAATCCCGGGGATTCCTGTAGATTTTCGGGCACCAATTCCACCGATGGGAGTCCCAATGCCAGCCAGTGGAGTTCCAGTGCCGGAGCTGCCAACACCACCAATCGGTGTGGATGAGCCACCACCGCTCCTGACCGGGAGACGTGGCGAACTGGTCATACCGGGGCCCAGTTGGGACCAATCCATTTCGCGGGGTTGAGAAGGTTTGACACATAGTAATACGTGTCAACGTCAGGAACCAAATAGAACCCAGCCCACTGAGATCTTGCAGGAAATGCATCCAGAGTGGACAATAGCAGGGGTTCCCAAGTTTGAAACCACTGGAACAATGCCACTGGCCAGCCTGCTGCCCACTTTGTAGGTGTGGGATGTGGGGTACACCTGACAGCCATCGCTTGGAACGGTCACAATTTCCCAAAACCAATGGGCTGGTCAATTTGAATGCGGAAACATTGGAAACATCCAATTTCGGAGTACCCCCAGACCCCATACAACAATTCAGCACCACGTCACCATTGGAATTTAAGCATCGAATCGGCACTTTTTCAGCCTTTCAGCCTGAGGGTCTCACCCCTTTCTTCGCAGATCTGGACTTCTGTTCCTCCAACACCTGGTTATTTGGGGGCTGAAGCTCTTGGCCCCTGTGGCCCATCAAAACGGCTATGGATCACAACGGGATCAATACCTTGGTTTTCACGCAAAAACATCGCTGGTAGTTGTCATGTGCATCCCTGATTTACAGGGGAAAATGATAGGTATTGACCCATATTGACCCATCCATGTATGGCTGTGGATAGAAATCTGAGACTGAAGGATAAACCAAAAAAGGTGAAAGGGAGTCCAAAACCATTGACCCAAAACCATACAGCCGTGGGGTTGATAGCCATCATGAAGCACAGCAAAGCTGTACCTGGAAAAGCTGTGGCGTTGGAGTCAAAGAAGCGGAGCTGATACCACTGACCTTGGTTTTTTCAGACATGGATATGAGTCAAAACCCTGGCACACTACCCTAAGTCATAGCTGGTATGGCTGGATGTTTATTCCTCCAGTCATATGGTAATTTTATAGGTAACTTGACCATATTTGACCCATCCCCACGTCGGTCAACAGCGCAGACGTGGCACGGATGCGATGCCTCCCTTTTTGCTGCGTGTCCCAGTTCCTGGCCTTGGAGAGTACCAGATGCTGTTTGGCAAAACTTGGCATTTCTCCGTAGGATCTGCGTATTTATAATACAATGCATATAATAGAGTTGAGTCTGTTGTCTACAATGTGGATATATGTTTATTCCAGGGGTCTGGCTCTAAGCCTCTTCCGTTCTAGGCAACTGGCGTGTCCATACCACTCGTCATGGAAGAGACGCCGCTGATGCTGTGAACACCACCTGACCTGAGTTCGTGCTACGTATCATGCAGCATGACCAAACTACAATTTTCACTAAGTCGACGTGTTCATTCTGTGCTCCTGGAAGAATATGTCAAAAGAAACTCACCATCAAAATCGTATCGAAATAGTAGAAACTATATTCCTCTATCTTTTTAGGACCTCAACCATATCCTATCTCCATCCACAACATGAGCATCGCACACCACTGGCGTTGCGGAGCCGGATCCCACCAGTGGAGTTGCTGTTCCCAGCATGGGGGTTGCTGCACCATCACCCCTTGCAACGGTGAAGCGCTAGGCCAAGACGTTGCGAATGACGGGGATGCTTTGCTCATTTGCCAAATGACCACTTGATCCTCAAATCGGACCACTTGTTCTTATGACTCAAGAGAAGTTCTTATGACGTAGCATCAAGTAATATTAGAATATATATATATACATGTTTTATATATGTATATATATAGCGTAGCTTGAAGTTGGAGTGGAAGTACAAGAGAAGTTCTTATGACTTAGCATATAAGTTATTATTATATATATATAATTATATATCTATATTTGTTTATAACGTAGCGTGGAGATGAATAAAACTTCTCCTGACGTAGCATCAAATAGGTGTGCAAGTGCCAGGACGCTGTTTCCCCAACCCACCCCCTCCAAGCAACCCCACCGCAACTAGATGACTTAGCAGGAAGAAAAATCGGTAATGTAGAATCAAATTGATCTGTGTATGTTGAAAGGAACTTCTCATGACACATTATCAAGTAGGTGTGCAAGTGCCAGGATGTTATTGCCCCAACCCACGGCCCCAACCAACCCCGCCCCATGTACAAGGGAAGAAAAAATGCATAAAGGCCCGGCCTGTTCGGGCTGCCAGCGGTAAATGTAAATTGTCGCTGTACAATGCAAATGACATGCAAGTGGAAACGTTAGAATGACCCCGGTCGCGAACACGTCTCCAGCAAAAACAAAGGGTTTGGAACATATATCCTTGTCTAACAGCTTGCATCCGTGCGAGTTGCAGTCCACCACGCCTCTCAGCCTCGACTTCATCGTCCTCTTCCTTGCAGGGTCCCAGCAGTTGCAGCCAAAATTTGATGACTGGACCGGTGGTCCAATTTTTTGGGGATCTTTTCATGAGAAGAGTCAATCAGAATTCGATGACCTATTTTCACCATTCACCAACCGGCAAAAGAAGGCCAACACCCCACGCAGCAGCCTCCTCTTCAAAATCATCCACTTCGCCCCACAGGGTCGCGTCCTGTTTAGCCAAAGCAATGCAGGTCTGCCAACAAAACCGCTGAATGTAGGTCCTCCGGGGCTGATGGTGTCGGCGCCTGCGAGCAGCAGTTTCTAGCCAACCAATCCGCAATTCCATTTGCAGAACAAATTTTGTAAATGTCACTATGCGGGTCAAAACCCTGCTGCCCTTCTGTTCACACCAAACTAGCCTGATATATGTAAATGAATTATAAATGGATGTAAATGGATGTTCATTCCCGCAATACGGTATTCCATAGGTTTGCTCCATCCCGGGCACCTGATCTGCCTTCCAGTCGCCGTACAAAGGATTCCCAAACCTCGGTTTGTAAAGACGCAGGAGGCGCCCTTCCAGTTGGATACGGACCGTTGGAGGTAGGTCAACGATTCATTGGATTGGTGCAAGGGAAAATCTACAGGAAACCATGGTCTCTTACCATCAAATGTAGGGGTTTCCGGTAATTTGCCCTTAAACTGATCCACTAATTCATTGCTGAGATATGCTGATACGATATATCCATAGATGAAGGTCCTCCGCAGAAACCGTGGGGAAATGTCAACAGCAACCGTACTTTTGCTCAGTGTCTGAGCCGCAAACTCATCAACTGGGGGTTTTCCCCAACCTCCTGGGTGATATCCATACTCTGCACCCTGGCAAGTGCAGCACATCAAACATGAGATGCGCAGAGCGGAGATCTGAAAAGTCAACGCCCCGCCTCGGGGATGGGAGCATTGAGCCCTGGAATTTTGAGGTTTGGGTAAGCTGGAGGTGGTCCGTAGCCTCGCAAAACAGCTGGCGCGACTTCTTGTTGGTGAAACTGACTAACCGATCATTTACCAGCAAGGTCATCACGACAGATTCTCCAAATCCAAGGTCTTTGATGCTAGTTGCACATGTCTTGAACTTGGGTATACCGAAAAATGACAATGTTTATTGGGAAAATGATGAACCCTTATGGTATGGATCACTTGCAGGCTGTGCATGTCCTCCAGCCGCAAAACTCTGCGGCCAACTTTTCAATTCGCTGACGAGCTGTGCAACGAAATTGGATCAGCTGGGGATGGGTCGAAAATCATGTTGCTGGAAAGCAAATTTGGATGGCGGAATTCTGAATGTTGAATCCAAACCAAAAAACAAAAAAGACCTCTACCTGTGAGTGTGTGTGTGTGTGGGTGTGTGTCTTTGTTCTTTTTCACGGGGGGAGCAATTGCGGGGGGAGCAATTGTTTGATCCACCAGCTGGCCCGTTCCTAGTTCATTTCTTCAAGATCTTCCGCCGAGCACACGGCCACTGGAAAGGCTTGGTCGCTGCGTTGACTCATTGACTCAAATTGGGCCAACATCTTTGGGCGGAGCTCAGCATCGAGGTACTTTCCAGGCTGGTTCTTCACATCTTGTCAGATCCTCACAGGTTTATTGGCTTTACCAACGAGAATTGAGGAAATTAAACGTTTGAAAAAGTGATTTTTTTGTTAGCAAGAAATCCAAGTACACTGGCCTCATCAACAACTTGCTGGAATCCTGAAAATTCTGAAAGCGTCAACGAAGTTGTCGGCTCTATTGAGAAAGATGATCAACAAAATATCAACAAAATCAGCATGATGGGTCACTGCAGTACTTTCTTCTTGGCAGACCCGTCCTTGGCTTGAAGTGCTTTTCCTTAGCCAGATCCGTCAGGGCTGTACGGAAGAACATACAAATATCAGCAGGGACCCAATGATTGAGAAAGTCTACTCTGGGTCGACTTGCGCTTGAACACACTATTGCGCTCAATCCTTAGAGGACCTAGACATCCATTGCTTAAAAATTCTTCAAGATACATATGCAAGTACAGTCAGTACGGTCAAGGCTCCTCTGTGCAAAAAGGCATTGAACCACACCACATCTCCGACCTGTAAGTTCCAGCGACATTTTTCAGGTTCCTAAAATGGTGGCACCCCCAAATCACCCAACATTAGACTCATTAGATCTCATTAGACTATTATTTTAGTATATTAGTATTGAAACCGATGGTTTTAGGGATCCCCGATTTCAAGAAACCCCCATGTGGGTGCTGGAAACGCAACATGTTGAAGCGTGTTGGGGATTGGGGTTCGTAGCCGTAAATATGCCGATACGATCGCTGTGTTTACGCCGATAGGCCGTTACGCCGATGCCGATGGCTGATACGTCGCTGTGCCGATCGCCATGTTTACGCCGATACGCCGTTACTCTGTTACCTCCGCCGCTGCACGTTACGCTTTTACGCTGTTACACCGTTATATATATATATATATATCGGTGTATCCATGTATCGGTGTATCGGTGCGCGCGGTGTATCGGTGCATCGGAGCGAAAAACGTTTAGCGGACCCCAATCCCCAACGCTATGACATGTTGACATGTTGTTGAGACACTCATCGAAGCAGAAACGCACCTTGAATCCATTGATGAATTTCTGATGAATGAAGACTGCTCCATGTCCCTGCTCTCGCAAATCAGCACACTCAATGAAGCCGAATCCTCTCTGGTCCGACCACTTGTGTACCTCAAAGGAGGAGGCATGGCAGCAATGGCAGCAATGGCAGCAATGTGAATGAATGTGACTGTTCCCAACGCGGACCGAGCCCCTGACTGTTCCAGAAAATCGCCCAAGCTCTATGTCAGGAGCATTTTGCGGAGCGCTTCCTGGAGCGTTTCCAGGAGCAGTTCCAAAGGTATCGCCAGGAGTCGCAGCAGCTGCGGCAGCTGCGGCTGCAACTTGCTCCAGGCACTCGGTCGATTCCAAGGCGCTGGCCTCTTCGAGGTTCTTGGCCTGCGCCTTGCCCTCGTAGGAGTAGACGGTGCATTTCACAATGGATCCAAGACCAAATTGTCCCAAATGGTTCCTGTGGAGAAACACATGACCACCTGGTCGGCCAGCGATAGTTGGGACTTCCAGGAATCCAAATCCTGAAGGGAGAGTTTCTGCGACAAGTTCAAACTTCTGCACCATCCCTTGCAAGAATTGCGTCACGGATCTGTGCAAAGTTTGTGCAGGTCGTTGTTCCAATCCCTTTCTTGGAGGTTTCCCAAAAAACTGGCCAGCATCCAACTCCGCACAGCTGTTATTTTCAACAGCAAATCAACACCAGGAAGAAAATAATAGAAGTTCACCGTTCATCCCAGAAATTCTTGAAACTAAAATCTACAACCCCAATTTGTTCAAAGTCTAAACTGTCCAAAGTTCCAGGCCTTTCTCCAAGCTGAAGGTTCGGATAATGCCAAGGCATCCAGGCACTTCACCGTTCCCCACCGCCGCTACGGCTGAGGCGGCATCGCCCTTCACGCCCTTGGAGATTGCGCCTTTGCCCACATCGCCTGGCACCTTGCGTCATGCCACAGGTTGGTCAGCTGGTCATTGGGGATCAGAATCTGAGCTGGTTGTTTCTATAAATGGGGATACCGTGATACCCCAATAGCTGGATGATGATGTTTAAGGGAAAAAAGACAGGGAGCCATGATTTTTCTTTCGCCAAATTTTTGGGGGATTTCTGCGGATCTCAGTTGTACGATCCAAACATTTCTTTCTTTGAACCAATGAGGGATCAATCATGATGGCTCTAGGGCCCTAGGGTAACTATCCCATACATAGCTGTTGAAAAAGTACAAATTGAGTCACAAATGCCACGAAATTTGCCGACCCAGCATCCTAATACGGTTGTCTTGAGTATCCCCAGGATATCTGATATGCTGACAGTGTGCGCAAGAAATCCTCACAGTATCCTATCGGAACAAAAGTCCAAGTTTGCTTGACCCAGTCAAAACTCTGTACCAACAGCGAAGGAAGGCATACAGTACCTTGTGCCTCAACGGGGCTCAGGAGAAAACCATTTCTTGAGCAAATGGGAAGCATTTGCTCTGCAGTTGTGGCTCAACGAGAAAAAACCTGCCAACTTGTAACAGGCACCGGCACCAGCACTCCCTTTCCTTTTGTGCCATTGGGTTTTGATGCCACTCCAAGTTGAATCTCCTCAATATCGAAGGCTTGCGGCCTGCGGTCCTTGTTCAGCAGGATTGCGAAACTCACATTTGTACCAGGCGAAAACCTGGCAATCTGCTTCGCGTGCGCAAAGACATCGGATCCAAAAACTTGCCTCGAGGCACAGCTCAGCATCCAGCTGTAATCCAAAGGAAAACTCGGGGTTCCACCCCAAGAACTTGCGGGTCTAGAAAAGAGGAGTCTAGTTCCAACATCTTGGGGCATGCAGCATGCTCCTCATCAAAGGACAAAGAGGCAAAATCTGGTGATCTGCCATGAAGCCAAAAGACGCGATGTCTGGGCAAGAAATAAAACCATATCCGCCAGATGCGTTGACTGCTTTGACCACCCCAGTTGCTCGTCTCTCTGTGATAGCCTGCAAACTTGCTGTCAAGACAGGTGCTGCCAGAGGCTCATGTTGTCGTGGGATATCTCGAATCTGATCAATTATTGACTTGTCACGTTTCAACCACAATCAGGAAGTTGGCAGGGAGTCCTCTAATGAAATCCCCTCGACTTTGGACCTGTTGTGGTTTTTCCCATGGTTTCCCTGTTTTGGACCTCCCTTTCTCTCAGTTTCTGTTGTGAATCCGAAATGGATCTCTCAGCTGCCGGCACGAGTAGGAGCATACGTCAGATCTGGACACATGGCTTGACAGACTTCAGGGCAGATCCTTAGATTTTAGCGTCAGCCAGATGGCCCAAAAAATATACGTTACTTAAAAATCCCAAGAGATTCCCAAGAAAAGGTAAACAAATGCCAAAAAAAATGACAAATCATGAAAAATCATCGTCAGCAAATTCTAGTTTGATGGTTGAATCCTAATGTCCAATGAGTCATTAATGAGTCTAATGGTTCAATCCATCTTCATCCTCTTTGATGGTCCCCCCATCCCAGAAGCTGTGGCTTGTGCTTCAGGATCTCCACAATGACTTGGATCAGTTTGACCTGCCATCAGTGACTAAAGCACCGTGGGACGGTGATTTCAAGCCACCTGGGACACCTGGGATATGCCGGATATGCGTCCTGGGATCAAATCTCAACCAGAAAAAACAGCAGATGGACTGTCGTCATTTTTAGTCGCATCCAAGTTTAGGGGTCCTCAAGTTTGACTCATACCCAAATGACTTTGTAAAGGGGGATCATCATCCCTCCGTCTGGGGACTGGTTCCTTCTAAGAAAATACACAGAACTCTGTGTGAGAAAACACCAACCAGCCAATTATAGTCATCACTTGCGCACTGTCAGCCGGGCACAGCTACTAACACCGCTGTCTGAGAAAAATGCAACTGAGATACATCTTCTTGAATTTCGAGCAAGGCATCAAAGGCTGCCTGTGCTTTGAAGTGTTCCTCTGATCCATCCATCCCATCAGACATTTGGCCCTCTCTGTCTCTTGAGCATTGGCACGTCTGCGGAAGCAACTCAGCCATTCATCAAAATTCATGAATTTGGCACAAATTTGCTACATCCATGAAAGCAGGACGGTTTCAACCACTTGAACAAACCAATATGGATGCAGACTGATGGAAATTTCGAGGGATATTGCCCCATTTTGGGACATCCGATACAGGCAAGATTGGCGTTGAACAAGACCCCGACGCTGCATGTTGAAGAGCCAGGGCCTGATGGCAGTCGCTGACTCATGTGCCCTTTCCATCCATTTCCCATCCATTTCCCATACACTGGGGCTGTCTCGGCCTCCCAAAGACCTCACTGAGTCCCCAGCGGAGGAGCGCCATCATCCATGCCCAGAGCCTCTTTCAATGCCGCGCTCAGCTGCCCAGGTCGTTTCGTCAGCATCTTCGTCTCGTACTCCTGGAGAAACATGGAGAAACATGGAGAAACTGTGCCATGAAGAAACTGGATATCAACACTGCACTGAAACAACAATATCAACATCAGTTGTCTTGCGATCATACAACATAAAGTAACATAAGTCAACCTTGCCCTCGTAGTACATGTCATTGTGCTTCCTCAAAGCATTTTGGCTGAGTGGACTGCAGAAAATGTCATGAATGTCGTGAAATGGCCAAGTGACGACAGCTTGGGCTTGTTGGCGAACTTGAAGAAGGCATCATGAAGAACCTTGGAATCACAAGATCCCATGGAGGCAAGGTTTGGTTGTGAATCATCCTTTTCGAGTTGGTGATCTGCTCATGGAAACTAGTGCAAACCAAAGAACCAACCAAAAAAAAGTGCCTGCATCTCTACAAATTCAGCTGTATTCATTCTATGTGTGTATTCTACACATGCATACTTAGTTGTGTGTCTATCAGTCTATCAATAGATACCTATAGACTCAGTCGACCATGTTCTACATGCTTCAAAGCCCCCTGGTGATCCGATTCCAACCACCACTCGCCAAGCGCCCGTTACCATCCCGGCCTGGTAGTCGATGTCCAGTTTTCCCATCTTGGGATGCACGCGCTCCCGACTCTTTTGCCTGAAGGACATGTCGGCCTGGCGATGGGCCGAAGCTGTATTCACCGGTGAAGATTTGAGATGAGGATGAGCCCGCGGGGGTACTCAAAAGGAAAGATTTACCGTAAGCGACACTCTTACGAACGAAACTAGGTGGACAAAGCAACCAACATACTTTTGGTGTTTCCTCTGTGGAAAAGAACGGGAATGCAAAACATTGGCTATTTATACGTCCAATCGGAAAAGTTTCCTTCTACATTCATTTTAGCAGAGTTGAAGGGTAGTTTTCAAGGGTTCTTGAGTTTTGGTGTGTCTGATCCCCAGAATCCATCAAAATCCAGTGGCTTAAATCTCATGTGTCCTTTCCTCCCCATTGAAATAGCTATACAGTAAGGTAAATCCTCCATTTTCACAAAATTGGTCATCAGCGGCCTGCTTCTCCATGATTGCCTGGGACCATCAAGGCAGCAGGAGGCATCAGCACCATCAAAGAAAAATTTTACTTCCGTGGATGAAACCATATTTGGTTCCTTGAAAACCCAGTTTCAAAGATGAAATCCAATTGTTTTTTCTTGGTTGAAATTCCACATGTTTTGTTTGAAATCCCTTTTTTGTGGGTGAAAATTGCCCAACCTGGCGAATCTTGGCGATGCCAGTGGCTTCGATGAAGTCAGGCAACTTGAAAGGAGGCCTCAGACATGTAGCCATGATCTAAGTACAAAAGGGGATGTTTTTCTTGTTCAAGTGTGGAGTCAACCATCAAAAGTGGTGATTTCACCATTAAAAAGAACGGAGTTTAACCATCAAGAATCGGGATATGAACAAGAAACGGTTGGGATGCAACTGGGATAAAATTCGGATATGTCCCCCTCACCAAGGCTTGGATGATGTCAGAATGTAAGAGTTGCCAAAAATTCCGGGCGTGCGCGTCTCAAGTTTTGAGGTATATCTAAATAGCTCGGCCTGGGCAGCGATTGGGTAAGACCACCATTTGAGAAACTCTGAGCTCACAGCTTTTCAACGCCACGTTTTCCTGCCATGTACTTCCGTTTGCCTCAAAGTCGGTTCATAAACAACCCGTCGGGGGGAAAACCGCGCCAACGGTTGTGAGCGTTTTGAAAAAATGTTGTTTTCGCCATAGCGAAACTATTGATTCATTCCACAAAATAGGCTTAAAATTTTCCGGGAGTTTGAAGTGCATTTTTGATGATGCCCTGTAACTGTAATTGACAGGGAATTTGCTTTTGAAAACGCGCGCGATGTCTTCCTCCTCTCACATCGCCATGCGCTTTTTCAAAGAGCGACCAGTGACCTCCAAAAGGTTTTTTGATTTGGAGTTCATCCAACGCCATTGCCACACCCTGATGCTTCGCATCAGTTTTGGGTTCACATGGCTGTTGACTCTGGTCGCAAGACTACATGGTATGGCCGATTTTATGAAACATAGCACTCTGATTGTATGAAAAGCAAATCACGACATGAAGCTGAGCGTCGACAGGTTACAAGTTGTTCCCCTTTTACATCTGTATCAACATCTGTGCGCATCCTACAATTATGATGCCAGCAAGGGGAAACCCAGACGTGACGAAGCATGTGCGTGCGACGCAAGTTAACATGAACGTTAACACGCCCACCCCCCAACCCCCCAACCCAAGACGTGACATAGCATCTGCATGTGACGCAAGTTAACATGAACGTTGGCACAACCCACCCTACCCCAACCCAAGGCGTGACGTAGCATGTGCGTGTGACGCAAGTTAGCATGAACGTTGGCACAACCCACCCTACCCCAACCCAAGGCGTGACGTAGCATGTGCATGTGACGCAAGTTAACATGAAGGTTAACACATCCCACCCCCCAACCAAAGACGTGACGTAGAATGTGCATTTGACGCAAGTTAACACGAACGTCAACACACCCCACCCACCCCGACCCAGTAGCACATGCGTGTTTTCAAAAACGTGCGCGACTACTGGCACGGTTGGTTTCCCCCCGCTGGCAGAAACAAGTTTCAACACCCCAGATAGGAGAGGGGAATGGCTAGAGAAAGAGTCAAAATTAACACATTTGCCTCTTGTGGCTATAATTTACCTATATACCGTTTATATACCCTTCATGGGTTGGAGCAACCATGATCAAAAAACCAGTCAGGGAAGACCAAGAGGCCACCTCTCCGATTGCAAAAGGCGAATATTGCTACGTTCCCCTTGAAATTGGAGTTACAAAATCCCCTAATGGGCTTAGTAAGTATTGGGCAAGGCTTATCAAGGCTGTGGCTAGCCAGAAGCTCGATCTTCGAGGTTGGAACGAACCAATCCATTGAGTTTCAGGCTGCTCCAGTGTCTAGGCACTGCCACGGTATTGCGGTATGCCTGCTAATGACAGCAGTTGAAAATCAACCCTGTCAACCTTTTGGAAACGAGCCCAAGAATAGCAGCCAACTGCGCTGCAGAATCGAAAAATATGAGTGAAAATGCCAACACCATCCATGAACTCTTTGGTCTGTACATCACTTTCTGACCCGGCACTCTTGGTGTTGATCTTCCCTCGATCAAAAAATGACAATAGCAACAATATATATATATATATATATTTATATTTATCTTTTTATTTATTTATTTATACACAATAAGAATAGTAATAATAATAATAAATAACAATAATCGAAGGAAGTTTAGAAGTCAAACTTCCGACAATATGGACAGATGAAAAGCAGAGCAGGGCAGAGGCAGAGAGAAGAGAAAGATTAGAAGAGAGAAGAGTAGAAGAGAAAGAGTCAGAAGAAAGAAGATGCAGATGCGCGCGAAACACTGTGTTTTTCCAATGATTTGGGGCTCCGGAGGGTCGAAAAGTAGGCTCGCTAAAGCGGCGGGTGCGGAGCCAGCTGGCCAGATGAGAGATGAAAAATTTGCACTCCGTTGTGGCGCGAAGCACATTTGGAAGTCAAAATGTACAAAACACACCAGGTTCGGACCACATTTGGAAGTTGAGATGTCGAAAAAGTGCACGCCGTTGTGGCGCGAAGCACATTTCGAAGTCAAAATGTACAAAACACAGCATGGTCGGACCACTTTTGGAAGTTGAGATGTCGAAAAAGTGCACGCCTTTGTGGCGCGAAGCACATTTGGAAGTCAAAATGTACAAACCACACCAGGTTCGGACCACTTTTGGAAGTTGAGATGTCGAAAAAGTGCACGCCATTGTGGCGCGAAGCACATTTCGAAGTGAGAATGTACAAAACACTACATGTTCGCGCCACTTTGGAGGTTCAGATGTCGAAAAAGTGCACCCTGTTGTGGCGCGAAGCACATTTCCAAGTCAAAATGTACAAAACACTAGGGGTTCGGACCACTTTTGGAGGTTCAGATGTCGCTTCGCCACTTCGCTTCACTACACTACACTACGTTCATTACACCACACTCCACTATACTACCCTACATTACACTACACTACACTCCACAACACTACAACTACAACTACACAACTAGACTACACTCCACTACACTCCACTACATTAAATTTCACTACACTACAACTACAACTACGACTACACAACTACACTCCACTACAGGAAATTACACTACACTAAATTACACTACACTACAGTACATTCCACTACACTCCACTACACTACAACTACAACTACGACTACACAACTACACTCCACTACAGGAAATTACACTACACTAAATTACACTACACTACACTACACTACATTCCACTACACTCCACTACACTACACTACATTCCACTACACTCCACTACACTACACTACATTACACTACACTACAATACACTGAACGACACTGCACCACAGATAGACAGGTAGACAGATAGACAGACAGACAGATAGATAGATAGATAGACAGGTAGACAGCTAGACAGATAGACAGATAAAAGAGAGAGAGAGAGAGATAGATAGATAGATAGATAGATGGATGGATAGATAGATAGATAGATAGATAGATAGTTAGATTGATAGATAGATAGATAGATAGGTAGGTAGGTAGATAGGTAGAAAGGTAGATAGGTAGATAGGTAATTAGATGAAAGAGAGAAAGAGAGAGAGAGAGAGAGAGCTAGATAGATAGATAGATACATAGAAGATAGATAGGTAGGTAGATAATCAGAGAAAGAGAGAGAGACAGAGAGGAGACCTCAAGCACCTTTCGGTCCATCAGTGGATTCGCTTTGCCATCCCTGATTCAAAACAATCAACAACCAACCTCTCCTACAGCTTTCCCATTTTTGAAACTTCCGCCACCGCCTTGTGCAGTACTACTGGTAATAGTATTGAGAGTTTCCAGTCTAGTAAGGTTCTATAAATCAAGGTTTTGATTTTTTTCTGAAATTTTTCTGAAAAAATTCTGAATCACATTTCTGAAAAAAAATCTGAAAAAATTGTGAATCCAGAGATTTTCTGCTGCCAGCCATTCAAAAATGAATGAAAACTGGTTGTTTTGCTGCTGTTTTCAAGCTGTTTTGCTGCTATTTTCAAACTTTTTGCGTTGCTTTTCTCAAATTTTGACGAATTCAGAATTTTTTCAGAAATTTGTCAGAATTTTTTCAGATTTTTTTCAAAAAATTCTGAAAATTTTCTGAAAATTTTCTGAATTTTTCTGAAAAAAATTCTGAAATTTTTCTGAAATTTTCTGAAAAAAATCTGAAAAATTTGTGAATCGAGAAATTTTCTGCTGTCAGCGATTCAAAAATGAATGAAAACTAGCTGTTTTGTTGCTATTTTCAAACTTTTTGCGTTGCTTTTCTCGAATTTTGACGAATTTCAGAATTTTTTCAGATTTTTTTCAGAAATTTTCCAGAAATTTTTGATTTCTGAAAAAAATCTGAAAAAATTGTGAAAAATTTGTGAATCCAGAGATTTTCTGCTGCCAGCGATTCAAAAATGAATGAAAACTAGCTGTTTTGCTGCTGTTTTCAAAGTTTTCAGCTAGTTTTTCATACTTTTAGCAGTTCCCAGGTACCAAAAGTGGAGGAAAACTAGCTGTTTTGCTGCTATTGTCAAACTTTCAGATTTTTTTCAGAAATTTTCAGAATTTGTTCAGATTTTTTTCAGATTTTTTTGAAAAAAAAATCAAAAATTTCTGAAAAATTTCTTAAAATTTTCTGAAATATTTCTTAAAAATTTATGAATCCAGAGATTTTCTGCTGTCAACCATTCAAAATGAAGGAAACTAGCTGTTTTGCTGCTGTTTTCAAAGTTTTCAGCTAGTTTTTCATTACTTTTGGCAGTTCTGCTGCTATTTTCAAACTTGTTGCGTTGCTTTTCTCGAATTTTGACGAACAGAAATTCTAGTCAGAAATATTTCAGAAATATTTCAGAAATTAATCAAATTTATCCAGTACTTCAGCAGGCTGGGCAGAAAGTCTCAACAATAGTAATAGTGATAATTGTAAGCCCAATGATAGTAAGCCTAATCATGCGGTAATAATATTAAGCTTCAGGTTTTTGGGACCCTTTGCAAAGGATCGTGGAGTCCAGGCCTTCAAATACACCAGCAAACGTGGATCCGAAGCAGTTGTGTCCCAGACTTCCACAACATCAGGACGCTTCACCAGAGTCTTCAACTCTGCAACTGACATGCGATTTTGCACCTGGCACTGGATGTTTGTCGTCGAAATGCCAAAATCTGTGCTTTGTAGGTCTCACAGTCTGAAGTTTGATCGATACCTCATTGACAGCCACAGGGATCTTACATGTTCCGTGATCCCTCTCAATCCGTGTCAGCATCGCTCGCTGCTTCTTCTTGGACACTTTTCCAGCATTCTGATCATCATCACTGTCCTTCGCACCATTGGAGCCACACCACCAGAAATTCACCGAGATTTGACACGAAAAAACATGATCAAAAGTCCTTTGAACCTATCCTAAACGGCTGCAGAATCCTTCGGCGAATTTTTCTGGGCTACAGGGCCACAGTTTGCATGGTATTTGACGGCATTTGCAGAGTTTTGGAGCTAAAATCTGCTACGTATTTTCATTGTATGTGCAGCATGTCGAAGCTTCAATCTCTTGTTTGCAGTGTATTTACAGCATTTTGGAGCTCGCGTCTGCACTTTGCATAGTATTTGCTCCAGCTGCAATTTGCATGATATGTTTTGCAGCATTTTAGAAAACTACAGTCACATAGGTAGTTTACACCGTTTTTGCAACATGTTTAACTTCATTCTTCCAGTTGCACATTTCTTCTGGCAATTTTGAGCCTAAATCTCTTGTTGTTGCTGTATATTGTTTGTAGCATTTTGCGGCTGGGTCTCGTCATCTTGTATTTGCAGCACTTTGGGATAAGATTTCTGCTAATTGTTTTGTTGATATTGAAATTGGATATATTCTTCTTGGCGTTTTTGCTGTTATTGGTTGCTTTTCAATGTTCCCTCGTTGTTTGCACAATAATTGCAGGGAATAGGAGATTGAACCTCTATTTACAAGATATTCGCAGTATTTTCTGCTAGAGTGATTTGGAGACAGTACTTAGTACTTTGAAATGGAGAAATGGAGATGTCGTGGGCAGCAGGGATTCATCTTGATGCTTCTTGTCTTTCGGTCCTATGTCCTTCTCAGCTTTGTTGCTCTTGTTGTTACTGTTCTTGCTGCTATTGCTGGTTGTCACTATTGCTCTTGCGCTGTTGTGTTTGTTGGGACTACGGTGGATATTGCCCAATAAGCCACGATAAAGCCAAAAATCCAAGAAGGCACAGTGAATTCACAATACAGCCAAGGAAACCAAGAAACCAAAAGCAGCATTTTAGAATCTTTGATTTCCTTGCTAATGGCAACAATTTATATACGCCTTGAACCTCTCATTTCCATGCCATTGCAAATATGTTGATATGTTGGAGCTTGCATATCGATTCGCACGCTATTTGTAGCAATTTCTAGTCTTGTAGCAGCTGAGGAGCTTTGCTTTTCTATATGATTTTGTGGCAAGTGCGTGCTGTGATTTTGTGGCGTGGAGGGGGGAAATCATTTGGGGGGAGGGCGCAGTGCACAAAGAAAACAAAAAGTATGTGTTTTGTTGTTGGCATGTCTATGTTTTTGCTACATTATTTTGGATTTTGTCTTTCTTGGCATTCTTGTTTCCCTGTGTTTTTCTCATTAATTGTTCCTTTGTTGTTCGCACGATGCTGTCAACATTGTAAAGGAATCTCGGATTTGAACGGTATTTGCAGCCTTTTGGTGTTGGAATATCTTGCTTGTATTTGCAACACTTTGGGCTACGATTCCTGCTCCTGCTTTAGGATCCTGTAGAAACATATTTTTTCTTGTTGTTGTCGTTGTCGACCATGTCCTCGTAGTGGCTGTTCGTTGTTTGGTGTTAATTGTTAGTTTAGTTGTTGTTGGTTGTTGGTTGTTGATTGTTGTACAAGCTTTGATGCTAAGGAAGATGGGAAAAGAGGCCAAAGAGCAGAAGATACCCACAAGTAGAAAGCAAACAAACATAAAAGCCAAAACAAAGAGAAGCAGAAAAGCAGGAAAGGAGAAAAAAAAAAGAAACATAAACACAAAGGGACAAAAAACAAAAGCAAAGTGCACAGAAGCAGCCACAAAGAAATCAAGGAAACACTTCCACGTTAAAAATCAAAAAAATGTCACTTAGGTCACTTCCAACCTGCCAGCAGTCCTCCGCCTCCTCCAGTAGTGATGCCTTTGGCTTCGCACGCTTCTTGGGCTTGTCCTCATCATCATCAGGCTCCTCCTGGCTATCACAAGATTTGTTTTTTGAGGGTTTCCAATGACCAGCTCATCAAGAATCTTGAAAGACTTCACAAACTCTCAGAAATGTCCTTCTTTTCAGGCTCCACATATTTAAATCTCTCCATGATCGCAGCAAAGGTCTCATCTTCCGGCTGGTCGTTGCCGGCAAGTACTTCAGGGACGACCTCGGATCCAGGTGAAGTGGCTGGTCTGTAGCCACTGGAAATGCGTTTGACAATGGCCAGTCCAAGGTCCAAGCGTAGTCCACCTTGAATTGGAAAGGATGCTTTGCAGAAACACGCACCAGACACGTTCAAGGGGACGGGTCAGCATTGAGGCAATAAAAAATGGAATCGCCAAAAAGGGACAAAACGTTGCGGGTCCCAAGGTCCTAAATTTCAACCCATGTCGATTTCCAATGAAATACTTTGCCAATCGCCATAGCTACCTCAATCTCGTCGTCGTCCTTTGGCTTGGTTGAGCCAGGGGCTTTGCCAGCCTCTCTCAGCGTGATTTCTCAACTTGAAAACCTGTGATTGCAGTGAACTGCCTGTGAATGAGAACCATAAATGCTACAAATATCCTTGTTGGAGGGGGTGGAAATTCTGTTGCCGATAATAAATTCAAGCAAAAACGTCCATGGTTCAGCGAGCCTTTCCTTTGGCGCCACCTTTGCCCTTGGCACCTCGAAATGCCACACAAATGAACACTTTTTGTAGAGGTTCAGTTCTGGTGACACCTTAAAAATCTTCAAAATGACCAGAACTACCTTGAAAGACAGCACAGAACAAGAATTTACTGGGCTGCAAACCTTTGCCCCCAGGCTTTCCAGCCCCTTTGACTGTTGGCTGGCTACCAGCTTCCTTATTCTCTTCGGCTTTTGCTGCCTCCAAAGACCGTGAATGGCACCTTTATGTACCATCCCCTGAAATGACATTGTTGCACTCAAGAAGACAACAAACCAAGTTCCTACAAGTGGAAGGCTCCTTCCCACTGAACCTGGAATCAGTCATTGTCTCACCAACCCCAGTTCGTCCGAGTCCATAAAGATGAACGAGCAGGGACAAGACGTTTGGGAATGGTGCCTTTTTTTTCTCCTTGAGTTTCTTTTTCTTTTCATTTTTTCTTTTCCGCTCAGCAGCTTCACGTTCCTGGACAAAACCATCGAAGTTGGGGGGGGTTGTCAGGAAATGATGAAAAAACCGCGTGAGGTCTCACATTGGTCATGTGTGAAGGCACCATATGTTTGAAGTTAAATAAATGATGCAAAATTGCATTTTGTTGGTATCCCAGTGTGAATACGGTCCTTAAAAACAGGATGTTGATTATGAAATCAATCATCGTTTCCAGTATTGTTTTGCAAATTTGTGGGTATTGTATTTCACATTTTAACCGTGCCATCATCATATTTACAAATTAGAAATGATCGAGATTTGTTACACGGTAGTTAGCGTATTTCATTGGTATCAAGGTATGACAACGGTTCCCAAAAATCACATGGATGTGTATATATATATGGTTCTAATCATTATGTTGTCGAGCAAAAACACATATTTTATCGGGTATCCTCCATTTCAAGACACCCAACATTGTATTGTTGATCATATCCCATAATCATTCTTTTAAACCCCCCAATCCGGGTTTATTATCCCTGCCTTATTTTTGCTGCCAAAATCCACCAAGGGAATTATGGGATGTCCCCCACTTAGAAAGCTCAGGGCCCCAACTAATCGTTTCTTCTCCGCCGGGTCAAGTGGTGTCTCCTTTGCCTCAGCCTCGGGGGATTTTGTTCCAGGTCTTGGCGGCCGATAGCAGCAACTAATTGAGGTAAATGACAGAAACAGTACTAATCGAAATACTGTAAGATACTATATGTAATATGGATATTATATATAAATTACAAAAAAAATCAACCAGCCATCATAAAGCAATCGAAAGTTCGTGGTTTTAACTCCTAGTTTTACCCTTCCAAAAATACATCCACAAAAATTGTGCACCTTGGTGGCCTCCACATCCTTCTTCTCCTCGCAAATTTCAATGCAGCGGTGCAGGATGATGTGGGATTCTTGGAATTGTTTGGTGGATAGAAATTTGTCCATTTGAATTCAGAAATCACCTATATAAAACAATCTATATAAAACCTAATTTTGTTTGGTTTTTTCTTGATTTGCATCCACAACAAAAAATAAAATGTTTGAATCCGATTTTTGTCGAATCGGCACCAACCATGAAACAAACTGCACAAACGCAAAGTGATGTTGGAATCTGCGTGCATTTGGGAAAACAAAACAAACCTCGCCAAGAGTGATTCATATTCCTGAAGGTGTGTTCAATCCACATACCGGCCATTAATTTTTGATGTTCTGGGAAAAACCCTTGTTTCAACGCCTCTTCTTCCGCCATCCGGTCACATGTGAAACTGCAGACTGGTCTCAGCCAAAATGCTCCAAATGTGCAAATGATTTCCATGCTAAAAGCAAGCACAATGTAATCGGCACAATTCAATTGATAGCTAGCAGCTAGGAATCCTAGGAACAGGTTCAGTTTTGCAATTCCAATCCATGAATCCGTTGCTGGTTGTTTGTCATAAGATGTTGGTTCCAACTATCCACATGTCATCCCTTCGATGATGATAACAATACCGATCGCACCATTCGTTCTGTCATACTTTTGGATGTCCCCAGCCAAAAAATGAGTACTGACCCATCCCCCAGGTGAGCGTCACCAGCGTACAAAAACACTATCTTGGGACCAAGATTTGTCACTTCCAATCAAATGCATAATATCGGCATTCCTACAACGATTATTTCCTCATAAGGTTTTCCTCACAATCTATGTTGTAGCCTTGGCCACCCCACACCCAACTATATTTTTGCAACACATAAATCACATCGACATATCCAAGATGAAGACTAGGGTTTATGTGGGCAACACTCTGCAACAAGGATCCCTTTAAAAGAACAGGAATCCTTTACAATAAATATGGGATGGGTTCAAACCGTTGAAACACGAGCCTTTCAATATGTATAGCAGCCACATTGAAAGGATGCAGTACAGTAAGCAAATATCCCATGGTTCCATATAATTAATTAATAATCCTTTCCATATAATTAATTAATAATCCTTTGACAAGGAGCAGGATGTACTTGAGAAAGTGCATTATCATCCAAAAGTCTACAGGCTCTAGCGTATATATGATCCTTTTAGGGGCGTCAGGTTTTCCCTTAAGAAAGGCACCCTTGTACAGTGAGATCGTAATATTTTTCAAAGAGTGATGCATTCCTCTGAAACGTGAAACCTCCGCGCATGATTTCCTAGACAAAAATGCGTTATTTTTTTGAGAAAATGCAGCGTTACTGGAAAGGATGATGATCCTTCAGTGCGGCAAAAAAATAACGTGAAATCTTACCCGTGCAACAATATATATCGGCTAGACCGAAATACCAATTCCACTTCATGTCGGGTTCTCTGGCCGGCACCCTGCTGCGAAACCATTGGGAATTCAATTCCAGGGATGAACCTCACCTATCCAAATGCCAGAAAACAAAGAAAACAAAAAAAATGGGAAACATGTGGGGTGCTGACACACTCCCATTTTTTTTGTTTGTGTTTTTATTGTTTTCTGGCATGTGGATAGGTGAGGTACATCTCCAGAATTAAGGTCCACATGGTTTCTTAGGCAATGGGATCGACACCAAGTGCCAAATTTGGCATTTTCACGCATGCCCAAAAACCCAACGCTCACAGCATTTTTTTTTGCTAAAAAACAAGTCAATCCCATGTCTTCAAATTTCCGGCCAAACGCCGAAAACCCTGGTGCGCGGAAGCAGTTCCAGGGCTGCAGGATTCCAAGGTTGCACCGTTCCAAAGTTACATGGTTCCAGGAATCCACAATTGCAAGTCTCCATGGTTTCAAAGCTACAAGGTTTCAGAATTCCAGGGTTGCAGGGTTCCAGACTTTTCCAGGGTTCCAAGGTTGCAATGTCACAGGGCAAAAATTCCAAGCTTCCCAAGGATGGGGGTTTCCAAGGTTTTAGGATTAATGCAAGATTTTAAAGTTTCAGGGTTCCAAGGTTCCAGGGTCTGTCGCTCCAGGTTTTTCAGGGTTTCATGGTCCCAAGATTTAATGACACATGAAACAAACTGGCAGGTTAAGCGGAGAAAAATGCGATTTAACAAAACAAAACTCAAACGAGATGTGCAAGTTTTGCTAAAAGTTCTGGAAGATTCCTGCAAGACTTCATGCAAGGAAGCAATACTTTGGCACCTGAAGGGCCAATACTCCCGAAGGTCATGCGAAGGGTTTTTCCCAAAGAACTGTTGTCCGCCTCACTTTTCACTTTATCTACCTAACATACATCATCCACATCTCTTGTGTCCTTTACATCACCTACTTTTTTTATACCATCTTCTTGACCGTTTTCTACACCATCTTCTCTACATCTACATTTACATGTGCATCTACATCTACATCTACATCTACACCACCATCATCATCATCATCCACATCATCATCATCATCATCATCATCTATCTCACCTATATACACCGTTTACACTACCCACACATTTTTCCATCAACCTCATCTACATGCCATACATCATCAGCAACGCATCATCTATATCATTACATCCTCTACATCACCCACATCACCTACATCTTCTGCACCATCTTCTCTACATCATCATCATCATCATCATCATTATCATTATCATTGCCATCATCACCACGATCATCACCACCATCATCATCATCATCATCCTCATCTATCTCACCTATATACACCATCTACAGTACCTACAGTTTTTTCCATCAACCTCATCTACATGATATACATCATCAGCAACGCATACATGACCTACATCATCATCTATATCACTACATCCTCTACAATACCCACATCACCTACATTTTTTGCGCCATCTTCTCTACATCATCATTATCATTATCATCATCATCACCATCATCATCATCACCATCTTCTTTCTCACCTAGTACCTACACAAACTTTTTCATCAACCTCATCTACATGACATACACGCATACACGACTCCCTTAGTTCCGCTTAGCAGAATTGAAAAATTCTTTTGAGGATTTTTTTTTGTCCCTTGCAGACCTGTACGAGAAAATAACTTGTTTGCTTCGTAACGAGTTTCCAAAATATCTGTATCATAATTGGTTCCATATGACAATGGTGGGAAAACAGAATTCTAAGTTATTTCGATTTAAAATGTTGATGATGACTGAACCAGCTAGCCAGGTGACTTGGTGATTTTAACCCGATTATTATTGCATATTGTCATGTAACTTTATCCCAAGTCAGGTTTCAACGAGAAAAGGCACAAGTTTGCACGAGATTCCAAAATAAGTCTTCTAGGTCTGGCGCCGCTGCTTTTTTCAACCCAAGCACAGGTTCCATGTCTGGAACTTTAGCTAATCAATTTTTAATATCTTTGGCCGAGGCAGCCAAAAGAATGACTGCAGCTAAATTTGGCCAAGCCGTTGGACCCTGAGGCCGAGGCAGCCTTTAGGGCAAACCTCTGATGTTTGGACGTCGTTATTTTCAGTAAACCACCGCATGCCTTTGCGCTGGATCATCTCTTGGCGAGCTTGAAAGCCAACTTCCAAACCTTTCTCGATCGACACTTCTTCAAATAGTTGTATTTGTTCATGAGCAAAAGGGGTGGCATTTTAGTCAACAAATGGTTCTGGATTTGGCGCATCGGCTTCATCGTTTTTGTAAGGACAGGAGCTGCTGGCTTCTTTTGCTTTGGGGCTGGCATGGCCGACATGACGACTGACAAACGGTTATATATTATTCTGCTTTAGTCCGAACACGGCTGGGGAAATCCCAGATTTGACCCTTTCGATTCTTGCGTGTGATTGTCGTCTGTGTGTGCACGCGTGCATGCATGCGTGAGGTAGCTGCTGAAGCGAAGCACATGCAGGAAACCTTTTTACTCCCGCTCGCACGCTGTCAAAATTTCGGCAACCCATGGCCGTGTCAGCCATGACGGAACTCCTGGCCGCGTCAGCCAGTGATTTTGAAATCTTGGTAGTGTCAGCCAATGTTTTCTTCGCCGTCATTCAGTGGATCCCAAGTGTCTTCTTCTTCCTGCTCCTGCTCCTCTTGGTCCTCGTCGGCATCCTTGTTTTCGCAGCCGCCCGCGTCCTCCTGGTCCATTTCAGCGGCCTTCCTTTTCTGTCCTTTTGCCTTTCCTTTTGCTTGTGCCTTTCCTTTGGATTTTGGTTTTGGCTTGGGCTTCGGAGTCGCATTCGAATTCTGCGGGCTGGCCGAGTGGAATGGCTTCTCTTTTCGAGTAAACCAATTCACCTTTGAAATGATTTTCACCGCATCTTCGCCATATGCAGCCTGCCACAAAAGCAGGAAAGCCCATGCTCCTTCCATCGTCGCCTTGTAGATGTCCTCGCCTTCGTACTTGAAACTCCCATACTTGGTTAAGACGCCACCGCAGTCGATACAAAGCATGGGCGCCCACCCTGACTCCATAGGGTTTCCCCAGACCGAACCAGTCTGTGAGGTATATTCCAGGCAGAAACAGCCTGTGATAGCAGGCCAAGTCAGCCTGGGACGTTTCAAGGTTTAAGCCGAAACAGCTTATTACCTTTACACACTGTGTAGCCTGTGAGCCGAAAACAACGAGAAACGACCTGAGTGAGGCTTCTAAGGAGAGGGCTAACAGTCCTCTCCTTAGATGCCGCACTGACAGCAGCGAAGTGTGTAAGGAGAGGGCTGTGAGAGGACTATTTGAAAAATGCTGTTTTGCTTTAAGGATTTTTTTCAATAGTCCTCTCACAGCCCTCTTCTTACACAGCTCACTGACAGCAGCGCGGCGTTTAAGGAGAGGACTAACAGTCCTCTCCTTACACCACCATTTTTGTAAATTCAAGGACAGCAGCGAATTACAAAATTACGTTTTTGAGGGTTCGTTCTGCTCAACGGATTTTTTTTTCCGAAATTCAAGGACAGCAGCGAATTACAAAATTACGTTTTTGAGGGTTCGTTCTGCCGAACGGAATTTTTTTCCGAATTTTCAAGGACAGCAGCGAATTACAAAATTTTGTTTTCGAGGGTTCGTTCTGCCGAACGGATTTTTTTTCGAACAGATTTATATTTCAAGCTTCGTATAAAGCATTGTTCAGTTCATGTTTGTGTCTCCGAGGATTGCTTTGAATTATTGGTTTGAATTTTCTGAACGAGTTTTTTTAAATTTTCAAAAATGTTCAAACTTCAAACTGCCGAATCCTTAACGACGACCAGTCGAATGGCGAATTTCAAAAATACCGAAGGAGAAAAAAAATCGAATGACGACGACACTTTCTACATTTCCAGAGATAAATGTCTCAGACATTCCTGCGCATATTCTTTTGGGGGACAGCCCTGCATCATTTGGCCGAAGCAGCCAAAGGATCCTAAAAAACAGC